CTTACAGGCCCTTCAGTGATGTCCAGATCCAGGGACTTGTGGAAAGTGAGAGCAGTGTATTCAAACCACTGTGCCCTTGAAATTCTTGTCCACAATACAATTAAGAGTAGTAGTGGTATGCAATTTCAGCAGTTGGGATAGTTTACAAGAACTACATTTACAAGTAACAAGTTTACATAAAACTGATAACAGAATATACACATAGTTTGTAGAAGGAAAACGGAGTTTTGTTTGAAGAAATGGGAAGTGTTTAGTATGCGAAAAATCACTGATTCCAAAATTCCTTCCTGTATATACTCCCTGCACGGGCTGTGCTCTGCATTGATGTGTAACTTCATGTTGCCACAAATGGCTGAAAGCAAGACGGCTGGGAGATTTCCCAATTAATCAGGAGCCAATAAGAACATCAACGTTCCCATTCACACAATAGTGTCTCAGAGATCACTTAGAAAACTTAACCAAATGAGGGACTTCACAGACCACATTCAACTAAACGCAGATGTTAGAGCTGTTACATTCAGGTATTCAGGGACCACTCTCAAGATGTGTTCATTTTCTGCAGATGTCCCAGCAGAGACACATAACTCTGGAGAGTTTAGTTAAGGATCCAGTTGGATGATTTCCCTGCTTGGCTTGCATTATTGCGTATGACAACAGACTCTTTGTCATGCTGTTCAGGCAAACTGGAGAACATGTGTGCAAAGCCTTTTGACTCTTGACAGTGTCTACATGTTAAACTAGCCTTCAGGTCAGAAAAGCAATAACGATAAAACAGGAAACAGAACTGAGCTGACTTCGGAGAAAGAAAGGGGAAAAAAAAACATTACTATTCAAAAGCTTCCAAAAAAAGTATCACATTTGCACTCACGCAAATACTCTTTCTTTGAAAGAGGCTTATTATCATCAGGCAATAACAGACAATGTGTTATGTAAGCAAACACCAGCATGACTCAAGGACTGAATATATTGACCCCATCATAAATTTCTTCCTAGACTGAAGGAAAGCACCAGCTGCCATGCTTATATTTATCTTGGCAGGTCTGTGGGTTCTAGCCTGGAAGATACCAAGTAACAACGCCTGCGAAGTGGGAGAGCATGCACTTTAAATAATGCTACGAAGTTTCTTAACTTCATGATTTTCAAATATGTATTACGCAGATTTCAAGAGTGAAAGATATGAAATCTTAGTTGCATGAAGATCTGACCCTGAGTAAGAAAAGAAATGAAAGAAAAGGAAGTCAGAGAAAGTATTTTCCTTGATGCAGTAGGATCTTCTTCCAGACAATGAGATTCACTTTGAAAATATTAATTTGTACCCACCTTGCCTGAGTCAGTGGTAGGCAGCCCTGACAATGGCTGGGACTTGGAAGCAGATGATCTTTGAGATCCCTTCCAACACAAGCCATCCTATGATTCCATTCTAAGATTGTATGTATGAACAAAGAATTAGAAGACTAATTCCCACGTCCTGCTGCTGTGATCTTAAAATTAACTGGCCAGTCTTTTGCCATTTCATTGGAGGGGGAAGGTTACAGATCAGCTGTCGTAAGGTTGGTTCCAAATTTTTCCAACATCAGAAGAAATATGACGTTTTACAAGTATCAAATATCCTAAATGTGTAGCATTTTCAGAACAACATGGATGCTTTTTGGCTTTGTGGCTTTGTGAAAAGCGACAAAGACGCAAACAGGGAAAGCTGAATTGAGACAATTTAGATGACGAATGTAGGTTTTGCTCCTTATTTTGCCATAACTAGTGAGGTTACATACACAGGTAGAAGAGAAAAAAGTTCTCCTACATGAAAAAAAGAAAAGCATTTTCTTTTGCTACTGGCAAACAGAATGCAATGACTGTATTATTCAGGTCATCCTTATTTTCTGTTACAGTGCAAACAGAAGCCTACAGAGGTAGATAAGTACACATCTGTCTTCATCAGCAGTAACAGAAATACTGATAACTGTGTTATTAATGCATCCTTCAGATGACATGAGGATTTTAGGATTTTCTTTTCCCTCACACCAATAATAAATTTGACTTCATGAAACTACGCCTATTTATGCCAGTATGGCTAATGGAAAGACAAGCCTGCAGTTGTAAAATAATGACTTTTGGTATGAAACACTGGGAACGTTCCTGCTGTTGTGGACTTGTACTTCATTCAGTTGAGTAGCTATCTGTGAGCCTGAAAGGGAGCGACTCGTAGCACTAGCTATCATCCCCGATGTAATTTACTTCTCCAAGTGCCAAGTGCTTAATTCTTAGCTTGGATGCTTTTTCTGAAGGACCTGTTTCAATGACAGTTAAGCATAGCATAACACAAACTTTATTCAGCTTGATTATTTCAATGGAAATTACTGTAGAGACTTTCGGTCTGTTATGCATGGAGAAACTTGACACGGACAGAAAGGAACTCTGGGAAGAAAACTGGATTGAGATTAGGATAGAAAGTGCATGAGATGGGATTTGCTTATGGGAGAAGGAGAAATCCCATTCCCTGCATTTGCAATAAGGTTTCACAGAGATGCTTTTCCAAGAGCTCCTGTAAATCTGTGTTGAAAATACTCTGCAAATTCCAAGGTAACCAACATAACCAGCTTGTTTTGGCTTTGAGCTTTGGGCTCACTGATACTATAATGCTTAGTTAAATATTCCCATCAAAGAGATGCCACAACTTGGAACGTACACTTCTGCAGAAGACAAAAATAACAGAGAAGCACTGCCCCATCTCTGCATTTCCCCTCATCTATTTCCTCCCTGCCTGACAGAAATTGTTCTCTACTCTACGGAGCGTTATGGATGTTCTCATTAAGGAAATGGCCCACAGAGTAGCAAAACTTCCTTTAAGGTTTTTCTAAGAAATCTGGGTTACTCTTCCTGTGCTATGCATGGCTCAGACAAGTTCTTCCCATTAATTCTCCCCAGCTCAGGGTGAACAAAAATTGTTCGTGCTACAGCCCTGGTGGGATTTTATTTTTTGCTGAATGATGCACCTCAGATTTCCTGGCTATATAGTTTTCTTGTGTCTTCTAAATTAACACACACAGAGATTTCATTTCATGCATGTAAGAGGGATGCAATAAACAAGTGTCAAGAGAACTGTCCCTTATCATCATTTCTGCTGTATTTTCACTGTGGGAGTTTCAATTCTCTTCAACAACTGACTGTTAATCTCACTTATGTCTCTGTAATATGAATGTCAAAAGATATACAATGGGATCTTTCAGCAACTGGTTGAGAAGATACTCTGAATAGTTGCCAGAGTGAGAAGATGCTTCTGAGGAAGCTACAAAAAAAATTATGCTGCAGTGAAATGGAAGAAAAAACACTTCTGATAGTGTAAAACCCAAACACACTATTTAATACAATTTTCTCACAGGCTAGTTAATACTAGGTCACTTCTGTGCATGAACAACATTCTAAAATAATAAACGTTGCTTTAAGAAAATTGGTTACAAGGATCTTGAAGCTAACTGATGTATGCTCTCACGTCCCTCAAGGCATTAACATCTGATGTACATTCTGGAGACGAATCAGGCTCTGAAGCTGTATATGTATAAAAAATAAGCTGCCCCCCCCAAAAAAAAAGAAAAAGAAAAAAGAAAAAAAAAATCAAAACAAGAAAGAATTGGTAGATATTATCTTGATTTTGTTCTGCACTTGCAAACCTGAGTGGTGTTTCTCAGTGGGATGCAGCAAGCTCATTTCAGTGTGAAAGGAGATATGTGATGCTAATAGAAATCTGCATAGGTTTGAGCATGGCAAAACAATTCAGATAGATTAATAAACAACAGAAGATTTTCTTCTTTTATAATTTACATGTGGCTGCCTTAGGACTTGATCTAGCTCCCATGTGCTCTGTGAGTACTCCAAGTGAGCAATGCAGGTTAGTAATATCTTCCCAAACCTCACTTCTCCGATGTTTAAGTCCCTCATCATGGCTTCAGGACTGTTAGCTCACAAATTTGGAACTGGAAATTGCTTTAGAAGTGCTTCATAGTATTATCATACACAAAAACCCACAAAAAAAAAAAAAAAGAAAAAAAGAAAAAAAGAATAAGAAAAAAGAAAAAAACATCTGATTGCTCTTAGCTGCATCAGAACACATCAGTAACAAAGAGAAAAGTCCAAGAAGTTTAAAAGGAACAGATCACTGTGTTTTATTCTACTATACTCTATTAAAAAAAAATGGTGATGGTCACTGGTTGGCTGCTGTTAATCATAGAATCGTTTGAGTTGGAAGGGACCCTTAAAGGTAGTCTGATCCAACTCCCCTGCAATGAACAGGGTCACCTACAGCTACATCAGGGTGCTCAGAGCCCTGTCCATCTTGACCTTGAGTGTATCCAAGGATGGTGCATCCACCACTTCTCTGGGTAATCTGTTCCATGTCTAAGAGTTTCTCTCATCTCCTCCATTCCCAAGAACCCTCCACAATGTTCTTAGCCACTGGCTGCTATAGAACAAAAAGAGGTCAATTAGTGGGCAGAAGGTTCAAGACTATGTGTGCATGTATGTCATAATGGTTGAATACTATAGATTTAGTCAAACACTTTCTTAATGTGGAGAGAAATTTCCATTTAGGAGAAGCAAGCTGCTTAATTATTTTTATTTATATTTTTTTGCCACCCTACAATAATGACAATAACTATTACTGGTGTTGTACTGTTTAACTAGAACTCCAGGTAGGAATTAAAAAAAAAAAAAAGAATCCCTTTATAGTTAATGCTACATATTCTTCAGCTTCTTTGTTGTAGTCAAAATTGGACAAATTTTTCTCACCTCAGAATCTTTTTTTTATGCTAAATATATCTAACTAATCCAAATGTAAGAACACTATTGCATAGAGCAGTTTGTCAGATCAAAACATCACTAAGGGCACAAAACACAGGAAAATTAATTGCAGCATCACTATTAAATGCAGTTTCTTCTGAGAGAACACACAGCAACACATTGGAATGGCCTAGGAGCACAACAAAACATACTTCAGCAGTGATACCTACCTATTGTGTCTCCTTGCTCATGCACCATGGAGGCCAGGTCTTTAATGATCTGGTTCACATCCAGCATGTCACTCTGAAAAGACAGAAAACATAAAAGGCATGTTTCATAACCAAGCTTTGTAACAAGAAAAAAAAAAAAAAAAAAAAAAAAAAAAAGTAGGAAGAAAAAGGAGAAAAAAAAGTAGGAAAAATAAAATAAGGAAGAGAAAGAATAAGAAAAAAAAATATCTATGTAGAATTAAAAGAAAAAGTCCAAGTGCTCCGTACACCCATGGTAAATCAAAAACCCCTTTAAACAATGCCATGGTTTATTGGATCTAAGTAAGCCAGTTGAGTTGAGTTTTCTATAAGAAACAGGTAAAATGATATGATTTTACGGTTGCTTTTCAGAACTTCAGAATCCTAAGAGGAAAAAAGCAACAATAAAAGCAACTGCTGCAAACCTACCTCTTAAAAAAAAAAAAAAAAAAAAAAGAGATACATTTGGTGCAAACCATTCATCCTAAAGTGCAGATCCTTACATTGGAGAAGCCCATTTTTAGAATGGCATTCATCTGGTAAAAAAAACTATTTGCAAATTGATGCTGCTCCAATCAAAAAATCACTGAATTTGAATCTCTTTATTGGTAGACCATCAAGAAATCACTCCATCAATCAGGCTGTGTTTGATGAATGGATTAATTTATATTTCTAAATGTACCAGAAGTAAAATTAATAGATTAAACACAGAAATTTTTCTAGTTCTAAGACAGCAATCTCCAGAGACTTTGTTTCCCTATTATCTGAACAGTTACCATACACAACAGCAAATGTGAGCATATGTTGACTTTTTATGTCACTGCCTTTTATAAAAACAATTAACCTAGCAATAACAGACATAATAATGCAGACACTGCTAAATGCACTACCAGTAAGGCAACATTAGCAGAGCAGAAAAAAAAAAGACACTCAAGCAGGATGCATTTAGTTTAGCTGTACTACTTCAAGAATCACAGAATCATTGAGGCTGTCAGGAATCTCTGGAAATCATTTAATACAATGCTCCAAGCAGGTTGCTCAGAACCAAGTCCACTTGTTTTTGCATATCTTCAACAACGTTCATAGACTGGGCAACAGTATGTCCATGTGTTCCTTGTACTGGGAACCCAGCATTTCAGATATGCTGAGCAGGGAGGTAGGAGTATCTGCTTTGATCAGTTGGCAGTGCTGCTTGCTTAAAGAAGCCCAGAATGCTGCTGGCCTTCTTTCCCGCAATGGTGCACTGATGGCTCAATTTCAGCTTGCTGCCCATCTGCACTTAGGACAGAATCACAAAATCATAGAATCATTTGAGTTGAAAGGGACTTCTAAAGGTCATCCAGACCAATTCCCCTGCAATGAACAGGGACGTCTACAACTAGATTAGGTCGCTCAGAGCCTGGTTCAAAGAGACTTCTGAAGAAAATACCTCTTCTCTGCAAGCTTTCCATATAGACAGCCAGTCCCCAGTCTGTAATGGTGTTGCCTGGAGTTATTTCTCCCCAGGGACAGGACTTGTCACTTCCAGTTACTGTATCTCATGCAGTTTCTTCCACTGAACATTTCCCCAGCCTATCAAGGTTTTGATTTCAGCATAACCACCTGCTATTCAACAGCAAGGATCTGAAGTCAAGATAATAAATATGCACTGCTTCACATTCATCCATAGTGACAGTCATCTCATGGTAAAAAGCTATCAGGTTAGTTAGTTACATTTTCTTTCTTCCAGTCTTTGGGAACATCCCCTGATTCCTATTCTTCAAATATGATCAAGAGTGGCCTCACAATGACACTGGAAAACTCCAAAGCTTTTGGTTCATCCAATCAGGTCTCATGGGCTTAATCACAGAATCATATAATTGTTTGAGTTGGAATGGACCCTTAATGACCTTCTAGTCCAACTCCCCTGCAGAGAACAGGGACATCTACAGCTCAGTCTGGCTGACCAGAGCCTCCTTCAGCTTGACTCTGGATGTTTCCAAGGATGAAGGTATGTTCATTTGGTATAAATGCCCCTCAGCCTGATGCTCTATCATCAAGAAACTTCCTTGCTGCAGACTTTCCCTCTACTCTCAGAACACAGTCTTACCAGTACAGTAAGCTGAAGAAGGCATTAATCCATACTTTTGTGTCCTTTATCTTTAGTTCTCACGCCCTCTTGACATATCTTTTCAGCTTTTCCTTCCATCCTTTCGTACACACATCCCCAACTCCTGACTTTCTAAACTTTTTGTTGGCAGACTGCAATCATATCTGACAGAGTGGCACAAAGACATTAAGTTTCTAAGAATTTCATTGAAGGAGTAGATAAATGGGTTTAAGGAAAATTTGACAACTAGACAGCAGAGAATCCAAAATACAGAAATATGAGTACATTGATTCTATAAATATTTCACAAGTTGATGGATACCAAAAACTCTAAACAACACATACAAGGGCACAGCAAACCAGACTTCTTCACTTCAGTTCACTCACAGAATCAATTGTCCGGATAACACAAGAATTATAAAATTAAAATCAAACACAAGCTCAACCAAGAAAGCATCATTACATCTGCACAACAGAGGAGCAGCAACACATGCCTAATGTAATATCTGAGATCAAGATGTTTTCTGAAACACTGAAAGTGCTCTGAAGAACCTGCTTCTCCCAGGGCTAATTGCACAGTAATTAACTTGTTTGCTTGGATTCTGTTGCAACTCCACCATCACGCTAAAATGTCAGCTTGTTTCCATCCCGCTTCTCAAGAATTCAGGATTTGTTATGGATAAATTTAGGAAATGAATAACAAAATGAATACACATCCTTCTGAAGTTTGTTATAAGAATGTAAGTGGCAGAACATTTAATCATAAAATGCAATGGAATCACAATCACTGGCAATAAAGCCTGAGAGTACCATTGTGAATTTGTGAATATGTTCAAAATGTTGAATAACTGAGGAAGTAGGAAAAACAAAAGACTTAAGAAATTGTGAGAAATCATAATAAAACAACAAAAATGAAAGAACACAACCAAAACCTGCAAACAAAGATGGGGTAATGCATCACAAAATGCATTCACTTGTCAGCCTAAATGAAGCTTTAATTATGTATGGTATTATTCATAACTTGTAAATTCTGTAGAATATTTTTTAAAAGCAATAATGTCTAAGTAACTTTGATTACACCAGACCACTGTGGTCATAAATCACTGTCAAGGAATGAGGAGAAATTTGTGGTGATTTTTTGGATAGAGGAGTTGTGGGGTTTTTATTTGTAAAAATATTTGAAAGAAGAAGGTTTAATAAAATGTAAATAAATGAGAATTAACTTGAACGTGTTGTTCTGCTCTCATTTAACTGCTTAGTAAAAGATGATTAAAGAAATATTAAACAAATAAACAAACACACAAACAAACAAAAAAGCACTAAAAAAAGCCCATAATGCTCATTTGTCTCTCTTGGTTAAACTGCCATTGACATCAGTCTTCACTTTCTGTTACAAATAACATAAACAAAATTCTTCCTGCACTTCAATCAGCCTGTTTTGTTTTACTCCGCTTCTTTTAAAGCACTTCAAGTGAACACAGCCTAAAACTTGTCCTTTTATTTGTACATATATTAGGTTAGAAGGAAGCTATTGTAATATATTGAATTACACCTCCACTCAGTTTTTCCACTGGAATAAACTATGCAGGCAATTCGATCTAACAAAGATCAGCTGGGTCCACGTAGGGCCCTCCTCAGCTATTTACTGTAAGGAATTGGGCTGCCTGCTTGCTGATCCCAGAATATTATGATGAGAAGGGGGAAAAGGGAAGGAGTGAGAAAGGAAATTCACACTGTGTATGAATTGTTATGTCTCAGATTTGTCCTTTTTATGCAAGTAGTTGTGAACAACTTTGTGGCTGTAGCGTATAGATCACTTTCAGATCATTGTATCAATGCTTAAAATTATTGTTCGGCAAATATGGGTTATTTAAAACCAGATTCTGAGGTGGTAGGAAGGAAAAATTGTGGCTCTTCGCTGTAAGAAAAAACAACAGAGGCAGTTGTAAGGCACAGAGTACAAAGCAATCTGACCTGAAGCAAGCAATATGCTGAATAATTTAACCTGGCAATGTGAAGTTTCCAAGCCCTGGTATATGTAAGCAAAATAAAAAGAAAAAAAAAAAAAAGGAAGAAAAATAGCTAGAAATAAAGACCATCTATAATGGCATATACCTAGCAGCTATGTTTCTGTTTCTCCTTGCCAAGTTATCTCTATCATGAAGTACCTCTGAACTTGCCTGGCATCAGAGTTTGTTAACAGAATCAAATTGCATTGGTTTCCCCAGTTTTGCACACAGTACGCAGAATTGAAAGTGAAATAATGCTCCTCATAAATCTCTTTGACTCCACCAAAACTGGGAGTACAACAGCAGCCCGTTTCAAAAATGTGTTGTTCCTGCCAGCTACTTAGGTTGGAGTTTCTTGCTTTTTAATCAACATCAGCCTCGACTGGTTGTCAACAATTCAGACCCTATATTCAGCAGCAAGAGGGAGACAGATTTAAATCATTCATGTTTTAATTTTTTTTTCCAAAGGAGAAGTTTATGTAAGACAAGTCATTAATATAGTCAGAATATGGTGAAAATAAATGTCATGTGATAAAGACCTGCCAGCTAACAAGCAATGTAAATGAGAAAAATAGAACACAGAAGAATCTGGAACTCTAAAAAACTGGAGCATTTATTCTGGACAGAGAAAATGCGTTTAGTAAGTTCTGAACAGAAAGCACTAGGCAATTATGGAAAAACTAAATGAGTAATTTCACCTGACTTTTTAAGTGAAGAATGTCACTGCAAAGTACCCAGAATTTGGAAAATTTCTTTAATTCCAACTCTTGCACAGTAACTTTTGGAAATACAAGTTTGCAGATAAACTGAAACTTTACATTTCCCATTTTTTACTTCAGCAAGACCACAATCTCAACATTTTAAAAATGAATCTGGGGACAAGTTGAGTCGTAAAACTCAGACATTGTTCCCAAGATGGGAACAACCTTATCATAAATCCCAGCAGCCTGTTTCCCCA